CCCCAAAACCCCAAAACCCCAAAACCCCAAAACCCCTAACATGTAAATCTTGATTGAAACCTAACTTTACATATTAATAACAATGAAGGGTAAAATACGCAACAATTTTGATAAAGGAATTCTCAGCTATATCATCTTTAAAGACTCAGAGGAGAATATTGACATTTATAACCTCCATTCGATGTATGATTTCAAACTTTTACCTCTCTTATTGTAGGTATTCAAATTAAGTTCTTCAGAATTGCACATAGGCCAGAAAATCCTATGAGACCACCAGTCTTTCTATTCTTTTGAACCATTAAGGGCTCAAAACTTTGAACGTGGAGCATTAGATGAAGAGGATTGGGAAATTCTGCATAAATCAGCACTAAATTCTAAAATTATTAGACTCTAAATAAGCCTAATTTTTAGATAATTTTGAAAGTATTGTTCACCTAAAATAGCTATTAATAATAAAATGTAGCTCAAGTTTCCTTAATTTTGGGAATCTTATGCTACAGCATTAGACTCTTTTAGTATAAATGATATTGTAAGTCTTCTTTTTAGTATTCACTCACTTCTCTGAATTCTTGAAGGAAAGGAAGACGAAAAATTATGAGATAGAAGTCCTACAGCTTTTAAAGGCTTAATAATAGGCCTGCGGTAATGAGTCTTTGATAAGAACACCTTCATTTTTGCTATTCAACAGTAGCCAAGTCGATAAACTGGTGGCAGTAAGCCAAAGTGGCTCTCGCTAAGAAACACGCTTGAGGTTTTTGTCAAGTTATACTGACCAAACATCTAAAGGCATGAACTTGTAAATCAAATTTTATCTATTTATTATAGGTTTAATTCAGATAGGACCTCTTAATGTATGTGAAAGAATTGAGTTAATCTAAAGACGATGAGAACTTCGTATATCGATCGTATAAGGATGCAAAGAGAAAAGAAGAGTTCTTATTTCCTCCTTGGGGTCAACACTTTTAAGTTTTATATGAACACTGATACTCCTCTGAAGGAAATTATTCATAAATTTCTGAAAAGGTCCATCTTTCTAACATATTAAGAATTATTTATAATTTGTATGCATAAAATTTTTGAATGGTCCAATTCTATTCCTTTATGTTAGAGAAAGAGTTTGGAAATATATCTTCCTAATCTTTGAGACAGACAACTACATTAAGCTTCATACACTGAGAGACCTGGGGGAGTTCAGTATCTCACCTTCGAGAGTGGGAGCATCATAATTTTTATTAGCCCAAAGCCATTAAGTTTCCTTTTGAATGTGCATAAAATAAAAATTGGAGATAAGGATCCGATTTCCTTCATTGTTTAGTCACAAATAATCTTCTTGGAACGGCAAGCTAGTAGGATTTCAATGAGGAAAATACTTAAAGCAATTACGTTTATGAATGGTCTATCCTAGTCACTCTTTTTAAAAGAAACTTCCTTACTTTTCTGGCTTAATTTGGATGGTTGATAAAGATAAAAGACTTAATGAAAAAATTCTTTAGAGATGAAATGAGAAATAAGAACAATGAGTTTAAGAAAATTAATAATCTATTGGAGTTCTCAGAGTTGCTGCAGTATTTTATACGCTCATATTCTTCAATTAATTATGGTAGAGGTTTATTAATTATTAAAAATAAGGAGTCAAATAGAATTTGATTAGAAATTAGCACTTCCTACAGTTCTCAAAATCAGCCTACACCTTTCCCTAACATAACATTCTATTATCAAAGACACTTCTTTTTCCATAAAATTTCTCCAAACCAAAATTCAACTTAAACATCAGTTTTAATATCTATCCAAAAGCCTGGGTGTTCAATTTTAACCGTACTGGCCTTATAACCTATTAAAAACTCTCTATCTTTCCTTTCAAATTCTTGGCTAAAAGTTTTATTTCTCCAAAAACTCCATTTTTAAAACTCAGAAAATTTTCAATCCCCATTTTAATGAAATTTCTAAACTAATATTTTATAAATTTCCCGAAAATTTTACGAGAAATTAGAAACGTTAAATAGTAGCTTCCTTGCAGATAAACTAAGGCTCTCTTCAAGAAATAAGCAACTGTAGGATCTCACTTGAGGGTACCTCTTTCAAAGGCTTTGAGTTCTTCCTTGGAGAAATAGAGTTGTATGACTGCGGCTTCACTCTATTTCCACGAGAATGAGGCTTAGAGCATGTCTTAAAAGCTGTAGATTTTCTAATAATAACTGGACAATCTTTGAACAATCACCCCTTACAGGAAATTTCTCAAATGTTCATAAAATCTTCTTTATTAGGTTTCCCTTTGTTATCTTTGAGAGTATTTGAAAACTGATGAGTCACCTTAGGCATCTGAGGTGAGCAATCTTCACTATCATCATAAGATACCAGGTCATCACTCCATATATCTTTTGATAAAAGAGATGCCTTCTTTTGAATTTCTGGATTCATTAAAGTTAATTATTATGCAATCTTTTCAAACTTTCTTATCTACCAAGGGGTTTTGGGGTTTTGGGGTTTTGGGG